TGTCCAGGCATTTGGGGTCTTTCAGACCCAGAACTTGAGTTGATATTAATATTCAGAGGCCCAAAACCTTATCATGATCCTCCTGTTAGAATGGTGACAAATGGAGACAAGGAGACAAATGAAGTTCAGGTAAACAATGAGTGTAGGGAGGCCCACTGAGCCTGTGAACCCTTATCATCATCATTTTCTGGTCCCAGAATGAGTGAGTTTTGTGTTCTTGGCATTTTGTGCAACCTCCACATGAGTTCAGTCATGTGGGTAAAAGCTATTCTAGCAAGGAAAACCAAGTGGAAGATTCTTAATCCCCCTCCCACCAGCCAAGATGGAAAGTAAAAAGTAGCAACAATATCCAAGAGAAGGGTGGCAAGCAATGAAATTAATTATTCATTCATTCATGATTGAAGGATTTAAAGGATAGAGAGGTATCTGAGATACCTCAGTCTGGCACCTGCAGAAACCAATAACCCTAGGATGACAACTGGAGACTACTACAAGTTCAACCTCTGATTACAGCCACTGTGCTAGATGTGGTGTCTCTGTTTGAGAGAATTAATGAGCACTGGGTATATTGTCATTGTTTTGGAAAATATATTATTTATCTCACATTATAAAAGAGAACTGGATATTACTCATATTCATGTGGAATCAACAACAGCATATTTTTATGTTTTTTTTTCAAGGACTTATGTTAACTGTCCTGCCCTCTGTCACAATAGAGTACAAAGAGATTTGGGCATACTGCAGGACATCACAATGACTTATTATGTTGATGATTTTATGTTGATTGAGCAAGATTAGCAAGAAGTGGCCAGCATGCTGAAGATTTTAGTAAGATACTTGTACTCCAGAGAGTAGGAGATAAAACCTTCCACAAAGAAACAAGTATGGATTTTCCATATCTAAAATTTTAGGAGTCCAGAAATAAAGAGCATGCTAGTATGTCCCCATCCAAAATAAATTACAGATTATTTGGTTTTACAATCTCCTACTTAAAGAAAGAAATAAAGAGACTAATGATTCTCTTTGGGTTCTGAAGATGCAAATTCTGCATCTAAGGATTTTGCTGTAACCATATCTTCTAGAAAGCATGAAAGTTAGACTACAACTCAAAGGAGGAAAAGTTGCTTCAGTGGAATCAGGTTGTGTTTCAAGCATACCTGGTTTTGGTATCATAGAGTCTGACAAACCAAAAAGTATTGGAAGTTATTCATGGTAGATAAAGAGGTCATGTACAGTTTGGATCAAGTCCTAGTGAGAGAATCAGAGTATGGACCTATATGGTTCCAGCCATGTCACTTTCAGTGGAGAATTTTATATATTTTGAAAAATAATTTCTGTCATGTTACTGGACCTTACTAGAGATGAATCACCTGACCATGAGAAAGTATGTAACCATATGTCTAGAATTTTCCATTATGAGTTAGATCCTGTTAGATCCACTAAGTTATAAAGACAGATGGGTCTAGGAATAATTATTGTGAAATGGAAATGTTATATATAAGATTGAGTGCTAGGAGAACCAGAGAACACAAGCTGCTTGAGCATGAGCAAATTGGCTTCAATTCCCATGGCACCTACTACTCTGGCACCAGTGTCCCTCCCTTGGCTCATACCTATTACTAAATGGGAAATATAAAATACCAGGTGAAAGAGAATGGAAAAAGCTGATTTTGGCAGACAGGTAAGTTGGTTTAGTATTTGGGTACAAGTAAAAAGTAGATGGCAGCTATAGTACAGTTTCATTTAGGGATAGTCTTGAAAGACAAGGGTAATGTTCCCAGTGCACAGAAGTGGAACTTCTTTTTGCATGGAAAGAGAATTAAACTGAAATTAAATGTGCACAAACTAATGGATATGATGAATGGCTTGACTAGCTGGTCAGGAATCTGGAGGGAGAAATAGTGGAAGGTTGGTGACAAGAAAGTGGGGCATAGGCATATGACTAGGAATATGCAGATGGATATGAATTATGAAGACTTCTGTATGTCAACATCCATCAGATAGCATATACCATGGAAGTAATACTAAACAATTAAGTAGATAAAGTGACCTATCCAGATGATGTCAACTAGCCTGTCATCAGCCACCCCAGTGCTGATATATAGTGGATACATAAATGATGGCAGCAACAATGAAGGAGTCCAGCAACCTCGATTCCCACATACCAAGAATTTGCTAGTTATGGTCACTGTTGAACATCCAATATACCAGCATCAGAGACCAATGTTAACACTGTGACTGAAGAAGACCAGCTAGGTGACAGGTTAACTAACTACATTGGGTTCATTTCATCTTGAAAGTGTTCACGATTTATTCTCACATTTCATAGGAATGGACATTCACTTTTCCTCCCTACATGATCTCAGTAAACACTATCTGACAGCTTTTAGGGGAGTTTTTGATTTACTGGAATGAAGTTCTGCATAATATTGCATCAGACCAAGGGATCCACTTTATAACAAAAAGGTTCATGAGTGGGCCTATGACCTTGGGGTCCACTGGTCATATCTCTACTGCTACACTAAGAAACTGCTAGTATGATAGAACTTTGTAAGCTAAGAAGCATTACTCTATATGATGGGGTACCATCCTCTAGAAATTAGTTTATGTATCAAATCAGTGACCTTCATATAATGCTGTGTCCCCTATAGGAATGTACATGAGAAATCAAGGGATAGAAACAGTAATGGCCCCATTTACATCATTCTCAATTGCCCACTTTGCCATATTTTCTGCTGGGTTAGAGATCCTGGTCTTTAAAATTGGAAAGCAGTATGGAGATTCCTTGGACAACTGGAAATGGAACCCCATTTGACCCAGCTATCTCTCTCCTCAATCTATACTCAAAGGACTTAAAAATAGCACATTACAGGGACACAGTCACATCAATGTTTATAGCAGCACAATCACAATAGCTAAATTGTGGAACCAAGCTAGATGCCCTTTAATAGATGAATGGATAAAAAATGTGGCATATATACACAATGGAATATTACTCAGCAATAAAAGAGAATAAAATCATGGCATTTGCAGGCAAATCGATGGCGCTGGAGAGGATATGCTAAGTGAAGTTAGCCAATCCCCTAGAAACAAATGCTGAATGTTTTCTCTGATATAAGGAGGCTGATTCATAGTGGGATAGGCACAGGGAGCATGGGAGGAATAGATGAACTCTAGATAGGGCAGATGGGAAGGAGGGGAGGGAAGGAGCAGGGACTTAGCAAGGATGGTGGAATGTGATGAACATTATTATCCAAAGTATGTATGAAGACATGAATTGATGTGAACATTCTTTATATACAACCAGAAATATGAAAAACTGTGCTGTATATGTGTAATAAGAATTGTAATGCATTCTGCTGTCATTTATTTTTTTTAAAAATCAATTAAAAAATAAAAAAATAAAATTGGAGGCACTTTATCAAGGAGAAATAGAAAGAGACCTATTGAATTATAAGCTTGTCACTTAGGCACCTTGACTTCCTTGTGTCCAGGGACCAAAGTCAAAATGAGCACTGTCTTGACAGGTAATTGACTCTGATTCTCAAGAGGAGGAATTGCTGCTATTGCACAATACAGCCAAGGAAGAATATGTATGGAACTCAACCGATCCACTTGGCCCATCTTAGTACTCCTTTTCCTCATTGTGACTCTAAATTGACTGGTACTATCACTCTAGCCAAAGAATCTGGTGACTAGTGGCTCATGTCTTTAGGAATGAAGGTCTGGGTCATTTTAACAAGTAAGCCACCATACCAGTAGAAGGGGCAATGGAGGGCTAATGGACTCTAAAATGCATAGAGAAAGAAGGAGAAAGAGTATCAGTTGAGATCCTAAAGCCTGAGATCCACTTTGGCTTTAGGCACTATAGTATATTCCACTAGTATTTCCTTTCTAAGTTTTCCTGCAGAAAGAGAGGCACACTAGACATCTGAAAGGTCTGGTTTTCCATCCCACATGAAATTTTGATCTAAGTAGAGGAGTAGACTATGGAAGACACAGCAATGTGCCAACCAGCTTCTCCCTGTAGGAAAAACTTGCTATCTAGTGAAATGTAATAGCAGCAGATAGTCTCCACATTTCAGCTACTCCAAAGTCTCATTACCTCTAAAAACTCACCTTTCCTGGGGTCAAGTCTTTACTTTGTCTGATGACTGAGTGAAAGGTGTATATGCCAGGCATTTGGGCTTGACACAGGACATCTTAATTGGCAGTAGCTACTACAGAGTGTCCTGCTAAACTGGCAATGTGAGGATCAGGCTTGCCTCTTCCCAATCTTGCTTCCTCCTTCTTCTCTTCATCAGTGTTGATTAGAGATAAACATCTTGTACTCCAAATTCTATTTCTGTATCTCTAAATTACTCAGTCTGCAACAGACAGCATATAGGGATATATAAGACAAACTAGAAATAGGTGAAAAAGAATAGAGCAATAATAAGGATAGGAACATAAAACTGTTTGGTTAAAGCCCATGTATATTTCCTTGAGTCTTACCCATTACTATGGTCAGGCTCCAAGTTTTCTTGAAGCCAGAGTAAAGTGAAAACAAGCCATATGACCAATGGAAATCACATGACCAGGTGAAGGACAATTCCTCATCCTAGAGCAGAAAAAAAATCTGAGAAAGGACACTGTGTAATGAAATGAACAACCTTAACAATTACAATTATGCTGCATGGTTAACTAGATGGCTCATTGCCATTTGTTACATTTATTTGAAATGGAATTACAATCAATCACATTATTTTAAGCAGGTTTATCGTTTGTCACTCAGATTCCTTAGGCTCTGGATCAGTGGGTAAGTATTAGTCATTGGAACCCATTATCCAAGGGTGCTTGGTTAAAATGGCTTTATTGGAGATGGTATGTGCAGAACAATGACTAATGCTGTCCACACATATTATTATTTATTTCATCCTCCTGTGCACCAGGATGCTTTTGCTTGAACTGACACAGTTTGCATTTTGACTTGCCTTTCCTAAAATGGTGATACTAACCAGTGCAGAGGAGGACACCGACAAGGAGAAGAAGACAGGGGAGAAGAGAAGGAGAAATGGGATGTTGAAGGGCCTACGAGAATCCTCCAACTAGAAAATTCTTTCTTGAATAGCTGGATTGTGATTTATCAAGGTATTTGATTTTGAGCAAAGAGAATGAGTAGATATGTTGCTATTTTCCTGACAAGAAAGTGATCTTATCTCATTGGAATTATGGTAATAAACTATTCCTTAAAATAATCAAGCTATTTGTTTTATATCTTTTCTATTGACTAACAGACTTTTAAAGGTGACTATTTTGGGATTTTGTTAGATTAAGATATAATTATTTCATATTTATGAAAACATACATTAAAACAGCACTTAGAAAATTATAAATGATAAAAGAGAAACGTTTTCTTCCTCTAAAGTTCCTAAACTCCTGCATTCATTGCATATAACTCATCATTTTTTCATTTACCTTTCATTCAAATTTACTTAATTTTTAATAAATAAAATTTTAATTTTTTATTCATTTGTTTTTAGTTTGATCTTAGACTCGTCATTTGGATGTTTCTGGTTTTTTTGCAAGACTAATTCTGCATTTTCAGTCATCTAAGTTTCATCCCTATACACTTATTTCCTCAATCCTCTTCATTAAAAAACATACACACAGAATAAAAATTCTTATTGATTCATATTATTACTAGAAGAGATGATTTGAACGAATAAGAAGACTGTTTTCCAGTCTATCTTTAAATCAATATATACCTTTTAAATTGCTTATAGGAATTTGACTACAAGAGTATTTCCAATTACATGTTATCTTCTGGGAATTTGTCTTCATGAAAAGATAAATAATATTTTTTTTTAAAGAGAGAGTGAGAGAGGAGAGAGAGAGAGAGAGAGAGAGAGAGAGAGAGAGAGAGAGAGAGAATTTTTAATATTTATTCTTTAGTTCTCGGCGGACACAACATCTTTGTTGGTATGTGGTCCTGAGGATCGAACCTGGTCCGCACAAATGCCAGGCGAGCGCGCTACCGCTTGAGCCACATCCACAGCCCTAAATAATATTTTTTATGTTTTTTGTTGTTGTTGAGTGCTCTGCTAATCCTTTGCTCTCAGAGCCTCCCCCTATCCCCCCCCCCTTTTTCTTTATCTGCCCTGCTCCCATGTCTGTCCTATTTTGTAAGGGGACTTAACTTTTGTAGAAAGCATTTCCTAGTCTCCCTTATCAGTTGATCTCCATCTGGGTTTGGTCCAGGGAATCACTGATGGAAGATTTGTGGGTGGAGCAAAGGGGCATTTCTACAATGCTCTTCATATGGGTTTAGCAACTGTAACTCCTCTGTGGCTTCAGAACTCATTGAGTATACTACTACAATTTTATCCTTTGCTTAGTGACCAAAACCCTGGACTTAAGGAACATTTTCTTTTCCCTTTGATACTTTAACCTAGAGATATAGTGATTTCCCGTGATTGCCAATCTTGAGATTTCTCATTGCTCCCTGTTTGGCTTCTCATTTCATCCATAAGTCATATAGTCAACCCCATGCCTCGAATTCCCTGTTTTGGAAACTATGGTCTTTAAAAATAAATGACACTAGGGAGCCTGGGGTTGTGTGGCTCAGTGGCAAAGCACTTGCCTTGCACATGGGATGCACTGGGTTTGATCCTCAGCACCACATGAAAATTAGTAAACAAATATAAATGACATTGGGACAACTGGTATTTATTCAGAGAAAAAGTAGTTTCTTATCTCATATCAATTACCAGAACTAATTCCACATGGATTGGAGATCTAAATGTTAAAAATAATCCAATAAATAATAGAAGAAAACATGAGTAATTTCTTGACTTAGGCATGCGGAAAATTTCTCACATTCCAAAATATGGTAACAAAAAAGGAAAAAAAATGATACCATTAATTTCATAAAATAATAAATAATAGTTTTTTATTAGTTACACATGAAAGTACAATGATCTTGACAATTCATACATTTGAATCAAATGGGGATAAATAATAGTTTTACATGGCAAAATTCCACATGCAAAGTCAAAAGGCAAATGACAAATCAAGACACTTAAATTGTAGTAAAGAGTATATCCAACAAATAACTATTTCTTAAAAATATAGGCAAAAACTACAAAATGTAATATAAAATAAACAAACCCCCCAGTCCACAATAAATAAATAAAAATGGTTCCTAAATACAGGAGAAGATATTAAACTTTAATCATAGTAAAATACAAATTAGAACATTATGGAAGGACCATTTCTCACCTGCCTCTAAGATTAGTAAAAACTTCAAAATCTAAACACACTGATGAGGCTGTGGAAATTCAGATAGCTTCATATAGTTTTGGTAGGAATTCAAAATGATACAATTGATCTGTAGGGCATTTGACAATCGTTAACAACTATACGGATTTTACTTTTGACCCAGGAAGTCCACTTCTGAAAAATCTCCCTGAAGACACACCTCTACAAATATGAAAAAGCACTTGAGCAAAGTTATTCATTAAGGAATAATTTATAATATAAAAAATATTGCAGTCTATATGATCACTGAAAGGATAATGGTTGAATTAAATATAGTATTTCACACAATGGGGTGCAATACAGCTCGAGAGGAAGAATAAAGGAAGGTCTCCATGAATCCAGGATATATAATTTAATGAAATAAGGAAATCATAGTGAAGCGCATATAATAGGCTACTTATCATGTAAGAAAGAAAGGGAAATTGCTTATTCAGAGAAAATGAAGCAGGAAATATAAACCAGAAATTAATAAAAACATTGACTTATAGAGTGTGTAAAGATGGCATAGTGGGTATGGGGATATATGGGAGATTTGTCAGTAGACTGTCTTTATGAAATTTTAATTTTGAACCATGTAAACATTTTAAATATTAAAAAACATGATAAAAGATGAGAAGATACTTAAGTTTGAATAAAAACAGAAAATAACCCAATTGCATGTCAAATTAAAAATAACCACACAGGGAAAACAGTTAAGAAACTTTTGAACATAAAGCTTTGACTGTACATACAAAATAGAATATATTATAAAGTCAAAAAGAACTGTAGGAATGAGGTTATAGTGTAGTGTGGGAACACTTGCCTAGCTTAGCATTATCAGGCCCTGGGTCAGATCCTCAGTCTCTCTCTCTCTCTCTCTCTC